CCGACGCCGACGCCGCCTCCGACGCCGCCGCCGCCACCGCCGACGCCGACGACGACGCCGACGACGAAACAGACGCCGACGCCGACGACGACGCCGACGCCGACACCGCCGCCGACGCCGACGCCGACGCCGCCGCCGCCGACCACGACGACGACGCCGAAGACGCCGCCGACGCCGACGCCGCCGCCGTCGTCGACGCCGCCGCCGCCGCCACCGACGCCGACGCCGCCGCCGTCGTCGTCGCCGCCGACGACGCCGCCGACGCCGACGCCGACGTCGACGCCGACGACGACGTCGACGCCGACGCCGACGCCGCCGTTTCCGACGACGACGACGGCGCCGCCGCCGCAGCCACCGCGGCCACCGCCGACAACGCCGACGACGACGACGCCGATGACGTCCGACGACGTTTGACGCTGCCGCCGCCGCCGCCGCCGATGCCGCCGACGCCGATGACGCCGAGGACGAAACCGACGCCGCCGCTTCCGACGCCGACGCCGACGCCGACCCCGCCGCTTCCGACGCCGACGCCGACGCCGACGCCGCCGCCGACGACGTCCGACAACGCCGACGACGACGCCGACGCCGACGCCGACGCCGCCGCTGACGCCGCCGCCGACGCCGACGCCGACGCCGCCTCCGACGCCGCCGCCGCCGCCACCGCCGCCCCCGCCGCCGACGACGCCGTCGACGAAACCGACGTCGACGCCGACGACGACGCCGGCGCCGACGCTGCTTCCGACGCCGACGCCGACGCCGCCGCCGACCGCCGACGACGACGACGACGACGCCGACGCAGACGCCGACGCCGACGCCGACGCCGACGCCGCCGCTTCCGACGACGACGGCGCCGCCGCCGCCGCCGACGCCGCGACCGCGGCCACCGCCGACAATGCCGACGACGACGCCGATGACGTCCGACGACGTTCGACGCTGCCGCCGCCGATGCCGCCGACGCCGACGACGCCGAGGGCGAAACCGACCCCGCCGCTTCCGACGCCGACGCCGACGCCGACGCCGACGCCGCCGCCGCCGACGACGTCCGACAACGCCGACGCCGACGCCGACGCCGACGCCGCCGCCGCCGCCGACGACGACGACGCCGATGACGTCCGACGACAATTGACGCCGTCGTCTGGCCGTCGCGGACTGCCTTCCAGGCGCAGCCCGAGGCGCCCGTCGGCGCCCCGCGGCCGCCCGCGGCGCCGCGTTCGCCGCTGCGCCCGCCGCGGCCCGGCAGCGCCGGCGGCCGCGGGGGTTCCGCGCCAGATGGGCGGCTGGCGCAGGCGCTTCGGCCAAGACGCCGACCTGGCGGCGCAATCCGAACCCTGCGATCAACGATTCAGATTCAGGCAACTCCATGGGCGGCGGGGGCAGGGGGGTTTGGAATCGTCGAACACGTGGCGAAATTCGAGTTCTACGCCCAGTTCCATCGATTCAGGAGATTCGATGGTTGGTGGGGGTAGGGTTCAAGTGTTGCCGCCCAGACGAGATTCGAAGCATTTAAAATGTCATAAGCATATGCTTTCCGTGTTTTGCGCGGAGTTCTTGGAGCGATATTGAAGTATCAATTGGGAACAAATGCACTAGGAGTCACGATAATGGCATGATGGGTGGGGGGACATGGTGCAAGTCTGGTAGATGGCGGCGGACCTATGGTGCCCGCACCTATGGTGCCCGCCTTTGGTTGTCGAAAGGCCCGTGGTGCCAGCCCGTCCCGGCGGCGCCCACGGCGCCACCCCTGGCACGCTCCCAGCGCCAGTGACGGGGGTTTAGGGCCGATCCAAGAAATCCGCGCGGACTTCTGAAAGTTACTGTTACACGGTTTTTTATCCCTTCGCAGGCGAGGGACGAGCCCCGAGATCTGGGTTGTGCGGTTTGTTCAATACGGGCCCAGGGGCCACCACAGATGCATCGGGCTCGAAGCCTGCTGCAGAAAGGCAGGGGCTGGGCACCCAGCCGTCATTTTCTGGCGGTGCCGCATTGTCCTCGCCACGCCGGGGACCTCCGGGAGGGGCCGCCCTGGTCTCGCGAGGGGCTCTGGCTTCCGGGCCGGTCCTCGGATCTGGGCCGGGAAGCGCAAGGGGCCCCCCGCGTGGGGGGCGCGGAGGCCCCGGCGCTCCGCGCGGCGTGGCCCGGGCCGTGGGGCCGCCCTTCTCAAAAGCGGCGGCGCGGGGGCGCGAGGATTCCTCGCGCGTCGCTCCTCGCGGGGCGCGGTGCGCGAGATGAGGTTGGAGTCGGGCCTCTGCAGGAGGAATGTTCCACAGTAGTCAAGAAATTGTCCGGGGGCGATGTTTTTTCAATCTTTTTGAGTAGGTTTGACTATTTTTGGTGTGTGTTCTCATTTTTCGTCCACAGCCCGCCTGTAGGGGGACATGCCCGACCTAAAGTTAGGTGGCCTAGGAAATCTATTCGTGGCCAAGGCCAGCCGCGGTCAGACGAGCCCTTTCGTTCCTTGTTAAGAATTCCTGGTGCTAGTACGCTGGCTGCGGGGGCGGCG